GAGGCTGAGGCAGAAGGATTGCTTGAGCCCAGGAGTTTGAGGTTGCCGTGAGCGAGGCTGATGCCAACAGCACTCTAGCCCGGGCAACAGAGTGAGACTCTGTCTCACAAAATAAATAAAAATAAACCCAGAAAGAAGTGACCAAATACTACTTGTTTTTCCATGACCTCATGTTCAAGTAAGGCAACTAGGGTGTGTATGCAATTAGGGTGTGAAGAGTAATTTAACACTAGGCGAGGTTGGTTTGATTATTTTCTTGCAAACATCCTGTACTGCCCTAGACTTTTACAGAACAATTGCAAACATTTTTCTAACATTGAGAAATCACATTGTTTAATACTCACAAAATATAAAAACCTATATGATACAACTATACAATAAAAAGTTCTTCTCAAATTACCTGAATATTGGTATTACCAACAAATAAGGGGAAGAGGGAGTAAATATTATTGAGTACCTATGATGTATGCCCAGGTATTGTACTGGTCACTTTGCTCAATTTTAATTAATTCTCACAGTTTTATGACATAGCTACAAATTAGAAAAATAGGCTCAGGGCTAGTGAGAAGCAGAGAACTGACTTGAAAGCCTATGCTCTGTGACGTTACATTTTGTTTACAATATGATAAGTAATGAACAAAAGTACGCTAGAATATATATGTGTACTTCACATTTTAAGGATAAAATATAATGCAGTGCAAAAAGGTACATTGCTACTTAAATTTTATAGTGGACACACAGATTTAAGAAAAAGAAAAGATAGCAATAAAATTACCTGCACTATTATTATCATCATCCTGTTCAATGAAGACATGATCCAAAATAAAGCTGAGCAACTCAGACTGCAACGAAGAATCAGGGGTGTAAACTAAAGGCTCTAACATGTCACGCCCTCCTGACATAATCTGATGGCTGAAGATCATCAAAATATCACATAGGATAGTGAAGGCCTATTATTAAAAAAAAAAGAAAAGGATGCTATAATCTGAGGTTTCTTACCAATAGACACAAATAACATATATATATATATATATAAACACAGAAACAGAATCTAACTTTCTATATTTGAAACTCTTAAGCAAAAAATCAATGTTTAATATTTTCCTAAGACTTTAAATCTGAGAAGTATAATTTCTATAACAACTACCAATATTTGCATAATGCTTTACTAACTGCAGAGTAATTTCACAAATATTGTTCTTTATTTTCAGCAATGTTAAGTGAGTAGTACAGTATGTTAACACTGCCAGGTAGTCAGGACTCAAACTCAAGTTTTGACTCCAAATCCCATTCTCTGCACTGTACCACAATGCTTTGAGGTATTCATTCTCAAATATGAAATAACGTATAAACTTGGAACCATTCTTTATTCTATGGAAGAAAAAAAACATCAAGGAGATGAGCATAACAATAGAAGTCACAAAGCCTGTGGTGCTTTTTAAGCACTCTCATTGCTAATGTGTACTGATTAAGTCAAGAATACATAGCCAGGTATAGGCCTGCTTGCTGCTCATCAGGTAAACCTGAATTATAAAAAACATAAAGTTGAAGTTATATGTCAAAGAGCTTAATAAAAACTCTGCCAAGAATTTTAAATGGAGTCAACCACTGGTAAAAATTAGCCAAAAGGTAACTGGAAAAAAATTATCTGTTGAGAAGGAGTAATGGAAATAGAATTTTTGGGTCATGAAGTCAATTGGAAAATATATTTAAAGGAAGACCATTGCTGGAAAGGCATATTATAATACAGATTGCAAAGCAGATCTCATCAACACTTTTGCCTTTTGGCAACTAACCACATTATCTCTTTATTTTATGCTTTTACTCCTCCAATCAATCTCTTCTCCTATTTTACTACCATAATAGTAATTTGCGCCTACTGAAATTTGTAACATATAGAGTTAACGATATAAAGTGTTAAGTATGATGATATTTACTAATTACATGAACTGGCAGGTCAAGCTGACCAGGGCATATTTCTGGAAGCTATTAGGAAGATTGACACACAAACTATTTAACAACCAAATAATCTCAAGGCCTGAACAAAGGATTTCGTGTTAATGCTATAAAAAATAGGGACTATTATGCCAACTATCCTGGTAGCACATGCAAATATAAAGTAATATTTCGTGCATTAGGTTTGGATCTGTGCATACTCCATTAAAATCCAATTCTAAGCATTTGAATCTAAACTCAATTTATTATCATCAGAAATCTTGTTCCTTTCATCTCAATTGTAGAGATGAAAATTAAAGTTCCAAACCTTTTATTGCTACAGTTCAAAACTACATACTTAAAATTGGAGAGAATTCAGCAATGCAATAGTTATGGTAATATATTTCATGTTTTTGCAAGAAAAACGCAAAATGCAGTTAACAGCATCTTGGCCACTGAATATGCTCTATGTGCCCAAGCATATATGTATGGTAGGGACAAGAGAGAGTATGAAATAAGAAACAAGAGACTAACAGTTGGGCATTGAATGCAAATTATTAACTATAAAAATCCAAATATATTTTATTAAAATTAGTTTTGCTATTTTAAAATGAAATAAGGACAAGTGACAAAAGGGTCAGTATATGTGAACAACATTCTGAACTAAAATAGTACTCAACATACCACAGCTTCTGAAAATAGCACTTGGGGTGACTACTAGAATTCTACCCCAATCAACAAAGGTTAAGCTGTATTAAATGTTTTTTTTTTTAATCTTGAAATCACCATAAGCATTTTGACTATACCATAATATTTCTTATAAAATTATTATTAAAACATACTCCCGTAAAATCATTTAAAAAGCATGTTTCCAATGCAGTTTATCCTCTTAATTATGGAATCAGAACTAAACATAATCTTAGTCTCAGGATCAAACCAGGTAACAGTCTATTTCCAGAATTGAGATGGTTGGCAGTAATGGAATCATGAAGGCATATGAAGTGGGAAGGTAACACTTGGAAGACAGGCAAGTGATTAAAATTTTTAGTTCAGACAAGGTCCACGCAAAGATCAGAATGGGCAGGAATGTCAGCGCCTGATCATATTCTCAGAGATGATAAAACCTTATGGACCTTTCCTCCTAGAAGCAAACTTGCTGTATTGTTTTCAGGAATGACTTTTATAATTTCATACATCTATAATTTGTATAAATGTGTCTATTTACCATTGTGTGTCATAAGGAAACAACAACACAGAACAACTGTAACATGAGTGTAAACTTTAATGCAATTAGAAACTCCATATGAAATTAATCAATTTTATTATGTACAAGCTCAATATGTTAACATATTTTTTAGCATGGTATATACATGGACAGATACAAGGTATTTCTCATTTGTTCGCTCTTAGTATTGTTAAAATTTTCTAATTAGCTAAGATTTTATGAAGATTCCTTACAAAAACATTACTATCTATAGTAATTACTAACCTGTTCCTTAACAGTAGTATTCACGTTGGTCAGGTAATGCTGACATATCTGACAAAATACCCTCATCTGTTTCTTTAAACGCAGTAAGTCCTCCTTGAAAAAATTTAACATGAACATTTTTAAATATTGAAAAAAATCTCATTTAGTATTTCTTTAAAATGTTTTAAATTACTAAAAACGTTCTTTTATATATATATATATATATAGAGAGAGAGAGAGAGAGAGAGAGTGTGTGTGTGAGTGAGTGTGAGAGAGCGAGCGAGCTAAACTTTCCTTGTGCATTAGATTTATATTTCTTCTTATATAATTTACCAGAAAGGAAAACAAAAGAAAGACCATTTTTCTTATAAATCTCACCAAATTTCAGCCTTAAAAATGTCAGGTGTATTAATGGGTAATATCCCAGGTGGTCTGGGTCCTATAGAATGAAAAAACTTATATAATTGTATATGGCTATCTTTAATAAAGCCACTAGCTCAGAACTTAAAGAGTAAAGATTTACACTCCATGCTCACTTTATTATCCGAAGGGTGGCCAACTCACAAATGGAAGAAAGTAATTAATAAAAAAGGGATGGCAGCTTCCATTTGCTGTTTGAAGGATACTGATTGTACTTTTTAAAAACTGAGAGTGGCAAAAATCAGTTTTGTGATATCACTCTAAAGTTCAAAATGTCTCTTAAATTTATAATTTTTCTTTTTATAAATATTTACCAGTTTATTTAAAATAGAAAATGATTCTATAAAGATCAATCACATGAACTTACTAAGTTACAACCTTTGGCCCATTTTATGATACTGGATGCCAAATGATAGACTATCACTACATATTTGGTATAAGTAATAGAAAAGTTATATTAAAAACAGGTTTAACTTGGAGATAACATTGGGTGAAAACTCAACCAAGCTTTACATAAATAATTTTCTATTCGCCATTTTCCTCTACTAAAAGTTTTGCCGTTTCCCGCATTTTAATTTTTAACTTTTAACACAGGTTAGCAACCACATATGTTAATATGGTCACTGCTCCTACTATAAGCTTAATATTTAGTTAAATAAACTTCTTCCTAAGTGTGAAAAAGCACACAATTTTAACAATACTATATAGATTTTGAGAGGAAAAATCCATTTATAGATAGAACAAAACCTTAAAAGTGCAGAGAAATTCTAAGCATTTAATGTTATTCTACGGGTTTAGGCAACATAAACTTATTATCAAGAGGATTCTCTTTTGAAGAAAATACCTATGAACAACTAAAATCGTAACTATCAGAAACTGCTTAATATTTATAAAAATGAGCCCAAATAACATTTAAGGCAACATCTACTACTGCAAGTACAATGTTTAAAATTCTGATTTACAAATGGAAAAGGCAGTCCTGTTTAGTTCAATTACTAAACACATGAAGGATTACGATTGTGAGTAAACCTTTAAAAGTTTTGGCACTAGTAAGCTGGCACGTATACTCAATCAGAAAATGACTTATTGTGAATTTGGGACATCACTAGAGAGATCTTGAATAAGAATAAAGTGATCCCAAAACAATACCAAGGCATAAGAAGATCTAGGGGCAGGTGGCTTATTACCTATTTGTTTCAAAGGCTTTTGGTGACCAATTTTGGGAATATGGAAAGCCATAAATTATGCCACCTGCTAATGAGAACAACTTTTAATTTAAAAAAAAATCATACCTTGAAACAAACCATTCTTCCACTGAATATACATCAAACTACAAACAGGACTATTTTTTAAAGGTACATGTTCATAAATAGTAAATTAGAAACAAGCAACACTTCACTTAAATAACTGGTCTTGTTAAATGTATAAGTTTGCTGAAAACTGTTAATGATATTAAATCTAATAAAAACACGACTAAACCACCACAAACCTTTGTAGAGCTGCTTTCAGTTATCTTAGCAAGTTGCCAAAGGATTACATAGTGAGTACACTGCAATGCGTGAATAACAATCTGTAAAAAGAACCAAAAGAAGACAGTTAAAATTGAAAAGTCACAAGACTTTGTTTCTCAAAGTTAAATATGCAAGTTGTGAATAAATAAAAACCTGTTCAGGCATGTCTCCATTTTCAATTCCGGTTTTCAAAAGTTTGTAATTACAAGCAAACAAGTCCCACTTTGAAAGATCATGGGCACTGTAAAAAAGAGAATTAAGTTATATTAAAAAGCGGACCCTAAATCACAATTGTTTTGAACTTGAGTGTTAAATACAGTAAACTTTTTAACACGCTCCCCACAACAAAAAATAAACGTATATTAGAATCTGTTAACATTTTAAGCCATAAAACATGCAAGTTGATTTTCATTTTTGTACACTTTCAAGAAATCAGAAACTTTAAGATTCAACTTACTTATGAAAAGCGGTAATCCTTTTCAACGTTGACAATACCTGATATGCGTCATCTTCATCAGGTTCTTCGCCCTATGGATATTAATTATACATTAGAAACCAACAAAGTAAAAACTCCTAGGATATCAAAATAGTGATACCACCTTGAAAAATGAAGAATAATATATGACTGTAATCCCAGAACTTGGGGAGGCCAGGGAGGGAGGATCGCTTGAGGCCAGGATTTCAAGACTAGACTGGGCAACATAGCGAGACCCTGTCTCAACAAAATTTAAAATTTAAAAATTAGCTGGGCATGGTGGCATGCGCCTGTAGTGCCAGCTATTAGGGAGGCCGAGGCAGGAAGATCACTTGAGCCCAGGAGTTCAAGGCTGTAGCGAGCTATGATCGCTCCACTGCATTTCAGCCTGGGCAACAGAACAAAACTCTGACTCTTAAAATAATATAAAAACCACAAATTAACTTTGTCATTCAATACCTAGGATGTGCTAAAATTTATGGCAATATGGCTGGGATAATGAGTCAACCCAAGGTTGTTATCACAGGAACATTATTACCAAGAGAGAAAAATGGAATGACATTCTTCTCCCTTTTTAAGTAAACGTTGACACAGAACTCTGAAGATATCAACTGTTTCACAGTAATAAATGCACGAGGACAGTAAGGAAAAATACAGTAGATGACAAGGAAGAGATCATAAAGACAACACCTGAAGGACAAAACCTCTGTCAAACCCTACACATATCTTCAGAAAGATATGAGACCAATCACAAGTAAATGGGGAAAAAAACCCTCTGAATAATGACTAGATATGCTAGTCCTTTTTGAATTAATACATATCAATGTGTGTTAATATAGTTTCCGGTTAAGGGTAACTTAACTTTTGAAAAATGTTATAAAATCTTAATACGTGAAACATGAAATTGTTTAAGCACTACTGAAAATACTCTGTTGAACATCAGGTTTCTCAAAAGAAAAGTGTACTTGTCTTTAAACTTTGATTCTTCTACAAAGTAATTAAACTTAATTAACAAACCATTGCTTGATTTTAAATTAACTTATCCTAATCACAATCATATTTAGGCAAGAGTAGAGCCATTAAAATTTTTAATGGAGAATATGATCACTGTACATCAATATATTTGCACAAACCTCCAATGAGTAAAACCTAATAAGCCTGGATTAACACTATATGCCAAAAAAAGTTAAATGAGTAATTGATAAAACAAGAAGTTTGGAAATTACAAAGTCCATATGACTTTTACAGCATTAATGATAAAAGTGATTTGGATGAACATATTTGAAACTCGGACTTGGGGGGGGGCAAGGGCAACATACATAACCTAAACATCTGTACCCCCATAATATGCTGAAATAAAAAGTGATTTGGAGGCCAGGTCAGGTGGCTCATGCCTGTAATCCTAGCACTATGGAAGGCCAAATAAGGAGGATTGCTTGAGGCCAGGAGTTCAAGACCAGCCTGAGCAATAGGCAAGACCCCATCTCTACTAAAAGTAGAAAAATTAGCCAGGTGTGGTGGCATGTGCCAGCAGTCCCAGCCACTGGGGGGCTGAGTTGGGAGAATCACCTGAGCCCAGGAGTTTGAGGTTGCAGTGAGCTATGATGATGCCACTGCACTCTAGCCCTGGTGACAGGGCAAGAGACCCTGTCTCAAAAATAAAAAAAAGAAAGAAAGAAAAAGAAAAAATGTGATTTGGAAAAGACTAAAGGCATTAATTTGACAATTATAACATTTTATTCAAATAAATTTACCGTAAATATGTATTTCCAGAATAAATAACAATCACAATAAAAACACAACTGTATTCAAGTGCCATGCACTAAGTCTCTTTGGAAATACAACAGCACAACACAAGAAACTCCAACAATGACAGTGGCTATAACGTAATTTATCAAGGCTTTATAATACCAAAGACAATAATGGCCTTTCCTCAGCAACAGTGCTAAAACACTGGGAAAAAAAAAAAAAAACCTACCTTTTGGGGCTACTTGGTTTTAATTTAGCTCAATTTTTCTGTTCCATTAATACCCTATTCCAGAACAGCCCCAGGTAATGGCCCAGATCATTTCTTTAAACTAAAAAAGATGTTAGTTTTGATCTCATCTCTAAGTCACAGATTCTTACCACTTCCCTATTTTTGTGGAGGAGTAATAGTAGCCTGATGATTCAATGAATAAAAAGCCTGAGAATCTTTATAATATACTGTTAGGGACTATCACCAAGTCTGAGACTTGGGTGACTAATTAGGTTACTGGAGTGGAGGGGCCCAACTAACAAAATACTTGAACTATATACCTCTTGCAGAAAATCTTCAAGAAGCCGGTTAAATTTATCTGCCAATTCATCTATGAGTTGACTTCTTGAAATATCTACTCTGTTGAAGATCGTGAACTCTTCATTACAGAGTGCATGGTAAGTTTTAGAACATGCTTCCAAAACATCTGTATCTGTGTGCTTCTCTACAATGTTCCGGATCTGTCGCAATAAGGCATCCAAATGCTGCAAAATAAATTTTTTAAAATCAAAACTAAGGTATATATGATATGCATAAAGTGACTGCACCGCTATACCACTGCAGAGAAAATTTTCATATATAACTCTACAATGTAGAGCATACATTTTCAAGTGTTTTTCTAGTTGTGGTAACTAAATACATTGATCCATCCATATTTATTTTCTGAAATTTAACACGAATAATATTACCTATCTCGCAGGGCTTTGGTAAGAATGTTTATACATATAAAGATGTAATCCTAGCACTCTGGAAAGCCAAGGTGGGTGGATTGTTTGAGCTCAGGAGTTCGAGACCAGCCTGAGCAAGAGCGAGACCCCATCTCTACTAAAAAATAGAAAGAAATTAGCTGGACAACTAAAAATATATAGAAAAAAATTAGCCGGGCATGGTGGTGCACACCTGTAGTCCTAGCTACTCGGGAGGCTGAGGCAGAAGGATCGCTTCAGCCCAGGAGTTTGAGGTTGCTGTAACCTAGGCTGACGCCATGACATTCTAGCCCAGGCAACACAGTGAGACTCTGTCTCAAAAAAAAACCAAAAAAACAAAAAAAAAGATCTTATAATAGTTCCTGGAACACAGTAAAAGTGTTCAATGAATAAGCTGCTTTTGTTTTAGAACTGTGATTATCCAGTTACTCACCCTTGATCTCTATATACAATCAGTGATATTGTCACATAGTGGCTAAAAATGAGGTATGGCTTGGGCATGAAGCAAAGGAAAGCCTCATTAGCACCACTCTCTAAAATGAACTGATCTAAAATACAGAAGATATATAAAATAGAGGTCTCCTTTCATATTACAAAAACATTTTAAAAATATAAACAAAGAGTATGATGGGATGAACTAAATTAACAATTTCTCTTCAAAGTCTTTTATACACAAATAACGCCTTACCTTTTCTAATCGTCCAGTGGTATATATTTCCAAATCGAAGTACTGAGGCAACTGCAACAAATTAGTCACCTTTTCTGCATCTACAGAGTACTGTGAAATAAAAAGAGCATGTTAAAAACACCAAACTGATAAGTAAACATAATATTCTGTGATGCATTCCAAAAAAACCCCTATGATTTCTTAGTAACATTATGATGCTGACACAAACTTACTTTTGCTAATAACTGAGGAAGGGCTACAGCAAAAAGTTCAGTGATTTTTGTCCTGTCATCCAACTGGGTCTTCTTCTCCTTTGCTGTCAGCACCTAAAGTAACAAAGACTTTTATTAATATTTAAGTCCACTAACACTGTTAAGTAATCAAATTTTAATTAAGACATACAAAATAAATAAAACTGTATTTTAAATGATGGACACAAAAAATTCTAACGTAAAACTTTAACCCTAAAAATGATACAAAAGAGAATAACAAATATTATCAAAAAGCAAAGCCACCTGAAACATCAAAAAAAATCTGAATAGTCCCAGAGAGAAAATCAATATCTAATTAGACTAACCAACTCTACTTTTGGATGGAAGGAGAATCAATTAGGAATAGGAAATGTAGTTTAGGAGCTTATATATAATAATGGGATTCAGCAGCACTTCTGCTTGCCCCAGAAGGTGGACCATGACACACAAATTACAAATTCAAAATAGTAAGTGGCTACAAGCAACTAAAAAAACAGAAATAAAACAAAAAGTTTTTAAACCAAATAAAATAGAAAGCATCACGTAAGTTTCAGTATTGCTTTGTGAATTTTGCTTGAGTTATATACAAACACACATATATATGTGTGTTCTAGGTCACAAAATAAAAATGTATTTTTGTGCTTCACAATGAAGAGTTTAAACACCCATGGAATTGTTAGTGTAAATTACATATACATGTTTCTTTGCAATAACACATTAAAATCTGATCCCAGAAAATAGGAATTTCCCTATTTTGAAGAATTATCATCTCCATTTTAATTTCTAATTTTATATTAGAATAAAAAGAAAGCAAATCTATGAATAAACTAAAACACCAAAATGCACCATTCTAAAATGGTGTACTACATTCATTCTTGAAGGCAGAACTATCAATCACTATATCTCCTGCATAACTAACAAAGTATCTTAAAGAATTCAAATTTCTCAAATTACTAATGCCTTAAAATTTACTTCTAACACATATTTATAAGCAAAGGTCATCAGAAAAATAAGACCTAAGACTCTAAAATTCTTCTTCTATGGTTAAAATAGGACTTTTTAAAAAAGATAGTGAAAAAGGAGAAATGCAGTTTACAATATCGAAAATACATTGGCATACCCTTTTTCCTGTCCCTCTTCCCACGGGAGGATGACATTCAGCTGCTTGTCTAATAGTACAAAGCATTATTTCAATCAGAGCACTCTCTTGCCTGTCTGTTAGTGCTTAAAAAGAAAAAATCAGAAAGAGTTAAACCTATTTCTTCTCCCTATATGCCACTTATAATATTACATAACAGTTTCTTCTGCCTGTGAATAGAATTTCACCTAAGGTACTAAAGGAAATCTCATGACTGTATCACAGAAAGTATCAGAGTAAGTTAAACCTTCCTAAACCCCTCAGCATTCCAAGTCTGTCCACTATGGATCCACACATTTGAGTAAAGAAAATATGAACCCAGATACAAAAAATAAAGAATGTTGACAGCAATTACACCTTTCTACATAGCATGAGATTCATGCATATGAAGAAAACAAACCTATGCACAAAGTAGGATTTTTCACTACTTATGTTAACACTAAAATGGTAAAGAGCTTTTTCAAAACTGTTTAGATGGAAAAAATACCGTAATTAAACGTCCTTACCTTCCTCTCCACTAAGTGGCTCCTCCAGCAACAAGCTATTCATACATTCCCAGTCTTTCAGCAGCTCGGTAGCACAGTCCCACATGCTATCCACAAGGTATGCTGCATGCTCATGTAACTAAAATTAAAAAAGAGCAATGTGCTCTTAGAGAAATAGTATACTAGCCTTAACTCTAAAGAATAAAAGCTTTGTTGGCACCATGTACAAAGTCTTACAGCGATATGTTTTTTCAGGTCAAATGGAAGTAAGGACAGACAAGAAACTGCCTTAGTTTGCTGGGTATAAGTAAGCCTTGTTAGGTAGCATCTTTAAACATTTTTCACAATATCATTAAAACATTAACATGAAAGATTATATGTATACTTACTGCTTATTTGGACCTAATATTGTATCAGTTAAGTACTCAATTCTTAAATATACTACGAATTTATTTTAACAAAATGGGGGGTGATAGTGGTTAATTAAAACATAAAATACAGGGTTATTTGTAAATCCAGTATATAAGACAATCATCCTCTTCATTCTGTAAAGCTTAAAAGACCCTACTGCTTCCCAACTCAATTTAGGGGATGAGTATAAACATGATACAAACACTTGTCAAAGATATTATAAATAAAAAATATTATGGATTAACATCCTTCATGAACATAGAGGGAATGTCCTCAAAAACTGGCAAACTGAAACCAGCAATATATAAAAAGGAGAATAGACCAAGTAGGGTTTATCCTAGAAATGCAAGGTTGAGACAACCTTCAAAAAACTCATTCAGGCCTTTACCAAAAAGTCCCAAAACAATAAATGTTGGTATGGATGTGGAGAGACAGGAACACTCATACACTGCTGGTGGGACTGCAAACTAGTGAAACCTCTGTGGAAAGCAATATGGAGATACCTTCAAGAGATACAAGTAGAAGTACCATTCGATCCAGCAATCCCATTACTGGGCATCTACCCAAAAGAGCAAATGATACTGTATAAGAAAGACACCTGCACCTAAATGTTTACAGCAGCACAATTCACAATTGCAAAGATGTGGAAACAACCCAAGTGTCCATCAATACATGAGTGGATTAATAAAATGTGGTATATGTATACCATGGAGTACTATGAAGCCATAAGAAACAATGCTGATCTAGCACCTCTTCTATTTTCCTGGATAGAGCTAGAACCCACTCTACTAAGTATCCCAAGAATGGAAAAATAAGCACCACATGTACTCACCAGCAAATTGGTTTTAACTGATCAACACCTAAGTGCACATATAGGAATAATATTTATCGGGCGTCGGGCAGATGGGAGCGGGGAGGAGAGGATGGGTATATACATACATAGTGAGTGCGATGCACACCATCTGGGGGATGGACACGCTTGAATCTCTGACGGGGGAGAGGGAGGGCAAGGGCAATGTAACCTAAACATTTGTACCCCCATAATATGCAGAAATAAAAAAAAATAAAATAAAAAGAAACTTTGGGGCTACAAAAAAACTCATTCAACATAATTCAACACATTAACATAATGAAGAATAAAAATAAAACAATTGGGGCTGGGAGCAGTGGCTCACGCCTATAATCCTAGCACTCTGGGAGGCCGAGGCAGGAGGATCACTTGAGCTCAGGAGTTTGAGACCAGCCTGAGCAAGAGTGAGACCCCGTCTCTACTAAAAACAGAAAAAATTAACTGGGCGTGGTAGAGCATGCCCATAGTCCCAGCAACTTGGGAGGCTGAAGCAGGAGGATCGTTTGAGCCCAGGAGTTTGAGGCTGCTATGAGCTAGGCTGACGCCATGGCACTCTAGCCCGGGTGACAGAGCAAGACTCTGTCTCAAAAATAAATAAATAAATAAAACGATCATCTCAAGGAATGCAGAAAAATCATTTTACAGAATTCAACATCCATCCATGATAGAACTTCTCAGCAAAAGAAGTGATATTAGGAAACATCCTCAACCTGATAATAACTATCTACCATAACACTTACAGCTAACAATGTAATTAATGTTGAAATACTGGATGCTTTTCCCATAAGATCAGGAGCAATTCCAATATATCTACTCGACATTCTACTGGAGGTCTACTGGAAGTCTTAGGCAGTTCAATAAGGCAAGAAAAAAATGGAAAAATGTTAGAAAGGAAAAGATAAAATTATATTTGCAAATAACCTGATTATATATTGTAGAAAATCCTAAAGCATCTAATTAAAAAACTACTAAATAAGTGAATTTAGCGAAGTTGCAGAATGGGAGGTCAATTCAATATTCAAAAACCAATTATGCGCCAGGCATGGTGGCTCACGCCTGTAATCCTAGCACTCTGGGAGGCCAAGGTGGGAGGACTGCTCGAGGTCAGGAGCTCGGGATCAGCCTGAGCAAGAGTGAGACCCCCATCTCTATTAAAAATAGAAAGA